GTTTGGTTGTTCCATGCTTCTCGGATACTAGCCGAAGCCCAACCTCTCCTGCTCCCCGATGTCAAACTCATATTTCGCCGGCTCATCGAGCGGTTGTTGCTCATCGAACGACTCATCGACCGGACAAGGTCGTCTCCTGCCAATGCCGACGCCATGATCAATGCCTTTCGTTCTTCTTCTACTTTGCTGCTATATAATTAACGTCTGACAACTCGAACAACAAAAGAATTAAACATATGCGAAAGGAATGTGGATTCTGAGGTGGTCGGAGACATGGTTTATATAGCTGAAGATCATTACAAGATGAGTGTTGTTACGACAGAAACAGGCATTCCACGGTTTGAAGAAGGATGAAACATTTTTCATGTAATTATTCTGATTTTCGTCATCTTTCCCTCTTCGTTTAGCGGTTAATATTTTAATTAGCATCAACGACATATTTCATGATTTTGTCAATAAATCATCTCCATCAAGTATTTTTTTTTCCACATCATAATTGTGTAATTGTCAACTTCCGTCCATTGATTGAAACAAATTAAATGTATGAATATTATATTTGATAAATTTAATGTTTAGGTTCTAAAATATTAATTATATAAAAATTATAAAAAATAAAATAATACCAGCATAATGTAAAAAATACAATATTATATAGTATCATATGAGGTTCATCATGGAATCATAGCCCGCGTAACAACAAAACTGGAAATTTATTTTTCCTGCCTAGGATTTGATTCGAAGTTTAATGAATGCCATGTTTTAACGGGTAGTTGCATGCATTTGTCTTGTCGTCTACAACCGGTGGACACCACATTAATAGTGATTAAATACTAATTTAAAATTTAAAATAAACTATTATTAAATTTTAGGTGATATATCATTTATATTATTGATATTTTAATATTTTTTTTAATCATAGCACTAAACTTTAATTATCGTCACTAGATTGTTAAATTTCAACGGCACAATGACGTAGACAAATCTTTCTATCACTATGATGAGGTGAATAAAATGACATTGTTTTGACAACGACTATTGATGCCCAAAACAATGTCGTTTAGACATTAAATTTCAGGATACATCAATTTTGCTATTAAACTTTTAAACAAATTACTTTTTTTACCATACTTTTATATTCTTGGTGGCAGTCAATCATCGATCATCTTTTGTGATAATATTACTACTGAAACATTCATGTTTCACACCTCTGTCTTCTCTTAGGATCGAGTTTTCACAAAATCCACTTAAAGTTAATGAAAATTCATTTAAAAAATTGAAATATTAATACTTTGTTCTCTTTCAATGATCGTTCGATTATGTTATTTTTGAGGTATGTTGTTCATCTCCTCAAATGAATACTTCTCACTTTTTGAATTTTTAAAAAATACCCTAAATCTTGTAAATCTAAGAAAGCCTTCAAAACCCTAAAAATGACAGTTGAGTTTTTTTTTTGGTTTAATTTCATCGGTTTTGGGTGAGTTTTTGAAAAATTAATCCTAGGAGAAGAAAGATAAGTAAAATGCGAATATTTTTGTATCGATCTTGTCATGAAAGATGATCGATGATGGACAATGATTAGCTGTTGATGACATTATGAAAAGTGCAATGTCAAAAATGAAACTATTTAAAAGTTTAGTGATAAAATCGATACACCTAAGTTCAATGCCTAAATTGACGATAGTTTATCCACAGTATCACAATGATCGAAAAGATCTATCCATCTCATGGTGCCATTAAAATTTAATGATACAATGATAAAATTGAAGTTAAAAACTAAAATTTAATACTACAATTACAGAAATCGATTATTCAATGATATAAACGAGAAATTATCTAAAATTCATTATAGTTTATCTTAAATTAGCACGAAGCAAACAATTTCAGTGACAAAAGAATTGTTGTTATTCATTGAAATCTTAAGTTTGAGCGTCGTAAATGTTAAGAGTGTAAGCGTTCTGTACCAAATAGTTAAATAATTATTTTTTTAACATAGTTTGTACTCACCTCAAATTAATTAAAAAAATCTTTTAAAAATTAATTTACTTTTATACCCTAAAACAAGTTCGTGGCTTCACCCCTTATTAATGTTTTTAAAATTTCTGGGAAAATGTCTAATAATAACAAAATCGGTAAAAAAAATAATATTTAGATAGTACTTTACTAGATATGTTAACAAAGCTGATAAAACGTTCAATAATAACAAAATTAATAGAAATAATAATACTTTCGATAAATTTTTATAAATTTTATTAAAAAATAATAATAATAAAACTGTAACATATTTCCTTAATAATATATTAATGTTGCACGTAATATTTAGTATTTACCACTACAGGGATACTTACTTGTCCGGGTGTACTACTTTTATTTATATCCGTGCAATTTTTTAAGATTAAGTGAACAGCCTGTCTACTCCGTGAGATTGCATAAAAAAAAGGGTAAACTACACTTTTAGTTCTCTAATTATCATTTTTATTTACTTTTAGTCACTCAACTATTTTTATTTCAAAATTATATCTAATATTATATTATAGTTTCATATTGATCGTCTATCGTTAAAAAATTAACAATGATGTTGATATATCTCCATAACGTAATTTCACATCATCATTTATTTTTTTTAAAATATCATGTCAGTAGTTCTGTTATTTTTTAATATCGTGTAAACAAAATAGAATCAAAATGTAATGTTAAATATGATTTTAGAAAAGATAATAGTTGAGTGACCAAAACTAAACAAAAATGATAGTTTAGGTAATAATGTGTAGTTTACCCAAAAAGAAGCAATAGAAAGAGACAACTGAGCTACCTAAAGGATATTAAGGTTGCACGTCTAGTCGTCTACACCATCATCTTCGTTCTTCATTACAATCAAGCTTTCATCTTTTTCCAGAAATTTGTTCAGCAGTATTGACATTAATTTACAGACTCCATGGAAAACAAAACCCGGTTCATCATCCTATATCATAACCTTTCCTCTCATATTGTGCCCATTTTCGGCAGTATCCGGATGCTTCCTCTGCAAAATCTGTATTCCCCTCGATGGAAACATATGCGTTGAACCTAACCAAAAAAAAAAAAACATAAATCCAGACATCGTATCGTGTTTATCGTGATTGCAGACATAAATATTACGGCGGCAAATAGAGCCGATACTATGAAGCAAAAAAACAAGTAAAGATGATGAATTAGTTACTCACCTGTTTTCCTTTGAATGTAGTGTTGTTTCGGGGCTGAAAGTTTCCGAGCCAGGACGAAGGCGGAGCATTCTCGGCGGCGGCTTGAATTCGGAGCTGGGAACGAGTGCGTTTGGGCGTCAAAACAAGAACATCAAATAGGCGAACGAAGATGCCGGCAAGTCCAAGCAACACCACCGTGGCCATGATCTCCACAAGAAGCAATAGTAATTCCATCGAGGGCATATGATGGTATACCTTAAATCCTTTTAATATATAAAATTTGAACTTATCGGAATATAGTATGATTACTTGGTAAGCAAGTGGATGAGGTGGTTAAGTTTCCCTTGTTGAATCAGTCCTCCATATTTTCTAACTTATCAAATTGTACCATGATTAGTTGATAAAGATGTTCAAGGACTTGGTTATTCAACAATAATTTATAATTTATTTTACTAGTAAAAAAACTCATTTTTTTAATTATTAGACCTATTTGGGGTATGAACAATTTTTTTTTATCAATCTAATATAAATACATGATAATATTCCTATAAAGATACTAATTTTCTATTAAAATATTCCATTTTCAAGACAAATGTCAAGATTTTAATTCACATAAGATTATATAAATATTCTTAACTGCGGATCAACTAATATATTTTATTCTTAACACTTTAATTTCTATAAAGGAAGGCCCAATTTAAGGTGTAAATACAAGATTATTCGAACAACTTTAATTATACGTGTGTTTCATTTATATTTTATATTTTCCATCTCAGTTAACTAGTTATTTATTGATCTTTTTATAATAATAAAAAATCTATCTTAGTTTATTATCATTTAAATTTTATTATAATTACTAATGGAATAAAACAAAATAAGGCGGGGGCTATGATAACAAAAATAACTAATAAAACCAAGATTGTACAGGGAATAAACATGACCATTTCTATCAATAAAGAAGCTAATTCAAAGGCAGAGGGTAAGAAGTTTCTCTCTCTTTGACAATTTATTCTATTTATGATTGTTGCTGATATCACACGTTAAAGGTTGAAATTTTTTGTGTATAGTAATTTTAAAATTTTGAATTATATGATATCAATATCACATTGGATTTTTTAAATATATGCCTTAAGTATTAATTAGTGTTATTTGAATTCCATTTTATTATACATTATAATATATTTTTCATAATTTTCTTAATAAATTGATAATGCACATACACTCGGCAGACTAGCTGCTCGAACCCATGATCTCTAAGGAGAATAATATTTCATTCTATATGTGAGGTTCAATATATTATATAATTTTTTATCACTTTTATATCATACATGTATGTATATTATTTTTTTATTATATTACAAACATATCATCACACATGTAAGTTATTTGTACTAATATAAGCATATAATCTTATTTCAACGATTCTAAGGGTTATTTGTAAATCTTTTATAATATAAAGCGAGCTTAAAAATGATCAGAAATATAATTAGATATGAGTATTGATGCAAATAAACATACAATGTTTTTTAACTACATTTATGTACAAAATTTGTAAGTATGGACTAATCTAATAATATTTTGTGTAAGTATTGGTGATATGCTAATGAAATCATATTTAAATATTTTTTTAAATTAAATAAATTCTTAAACTTTTTAAAAAGATTTAATTTGATATTTTGACTAATAGAATCAAATATTGACCATTAAACCAATTTTAAATTATTAATGTAACAATGGTTTGGGCCCGATCAAGCCCAGATATTCATTTTTATCTAAATTTAGTTAGTTTGAAATTCATAATATGCGGATTTAATCTCAGACATTGCCTATAAGGCCCAACTGTTAAAAAAAATCAGCTTTCAATCTCGATATCTCTGAGCATTCATCAATCAATCATCATTCGATTTACACGTTTAGCTTAAGAAGATAAATGGCTGATGTACTTCGTGTTCCTTTTTCAGTTCTCCGATCATCACCATCACCACCCTTCAAGCCACGTCTTTGTCCTCTAACTCCTCCATTACGACGTCGTCTCCATCTCAAACCAACCCCTCTTCTCCTTCCTCTCTTCTCTTCTTCTTTCGCTTCCTGTCCCAGACAACCCCTTCATTGCTCTTCTTCTTCCACGCCTCTTCAACTCTCCTCTTTGTCTCAGGTTCTTCTTCCCTTTCATTTTTTATGTCTTTCTGTTTTCTACATATCTTCAGCTGGCATTATCATTTTTAAATTCGAATTTCTGTTCTTTGGATACCCTTTTCCTTTGGAAGATGTTCTGTACATGTTTTGATGGTGGTTTGAGTTTTTTTTTTATTACATTTAGAGAAATGGGTTTCTTTAAGGATTAAATTTAGACAAAATAGAAAAATATGTCGGTACTTGATCGATTTTAATTTGGAGGATGAAAGTAAAGATGTGATTTTTTTAATAATGCATGTTTCCAAAAGCACCATAAAAACATGTGATTGCAAGAAAAGTCGGGACTTTTAAAATGAAATGCATGCTATTTATTGAAGTGATTTTTTGCTTGAAATGGTGGTAAATTGCAGGACAGTTTGTTGTATTCGAGGGCATATTGGGTAACGGAAACCATAACCGCCTGGAATGTTGATGTCGGAGAAGGTTCTTGCTACTTGTTTGCAAGTAAAGCTGCTGCTTTGTCTGTTACAGAGGATGGAATTCAAGGTCTGGGTTGTGCTGAAAAAATTACCTTTCATTGAAATGGTAAATCCAGCTCAGTCGGTAGAGCGCAAGGTTCTTAACTTTGTGGTCGTGAGATCGAGTCTCACGGTAGACAACTTATAATTCTGACTGTCGAGGTCTTCTACGGAAGTTGCTCTCAACTGGCGTTTGGGGCAGCCTATTACTTTACCTCCCCTCACCCCATTACATATGGGAATAGGGCCAGTTATTTTTTTTGAAATGGTAAATTCGAGACTTCCCACGTTTTATCGTCTTTGAGAGCCTTTATTTCTTCCATCACAATTTACCTTCAATTTAAGAGCTTCTTCTATGTTTTACGAAACTTTACAGTATCAAAATTAGACACAAAGACTTTATAAGACTTATATAAGTTTTCGTATGACACAAACCGAGAAACAGAGTGTTGAGTGCAGCTCCTTGTTCCCTTTCGAACTACAATTGGAAGATGGATGGAAGGTGATAGAGTTGAGACTTTTGTTATAGAACAGTCCTCGATTGGGGATGAAATTGGCACTGATGTTTCAGTTTCAAGAGAATAAAGTCGTTAAGAGTATACCTGAAGTTTGATGTAACACCCCATCTCGTACCCGACCCAAATACAAGTTCAAGATGTCACATTGACTTTTTAAAATAGTATTCTTATAAAATATCAAAGCATTTGAACTCATATTAAGAAAATACTATCATATATTGTTGAATTATGTTCGTTAAAACCAATTTTAAAAAAATACTTTTTTATGAACAGTAAAATACGGTATGAACAATACGGTATGAATACTATGAACAGTAATAATTTCGAATATCATTGTTCGAATATCAATTGTGTATCGATGCACTACTACAATAAAATACTTTCGTAAAATTACGTATAAACTCGTAAAAATTTAAGCTTTCATCCATATTAAATTTATCAATTACATATAAACATTTAAAACATTACAAAACTCAATTGTATAACTTTTCAAAACCGATTAGAATATATATCGGATTTAATCCTTTATTTACGTGCCAACTACTTTCCTTATTACAACATACATACTAAACATTTCTTTTCTGATCTGATCTTTAGAAAGGAGGAATTGATATGTCTTGCATAACTTTTATCAATCTTTCTTTCTCGAAACCTACGCGTGAAACAATCGCACGCATGAACATATCATCTACTCATTCAATCATGTCACATATGATTCCATGTAAATAATAATAACATGATAACATGTAATAATGCAAACACTTTTATACATTTTTGTAAGCCCATGTACAGTACTGAGAACTCAAGGTATTCGAGTACATTGAGGTTGTGCATTATGCTGTCACCATAGCTCGTATGGGGTCCCATTAGGGGCTATGAAATTTTGTCCCGAAGGACCTATGTATTGTATTTGTTTCGAAAGACCACTCCTTAAGAACCATATACATATTCCAATTGATCAAATGTCCAAAAGACTCTGTAAATGTTCTAAATGATACATATACGTCCCGAATGACCACGTAGAACCCTCGACTCTTGGCATGCCAACTATACCTATAGCTCTTGTATTATATACCATGGGCATTATTCATGTGTTTCATATGTTCATATACTCATGTCATTTCTCTTGATATCACATATACATTTTCTTCTGTCACATATATGTGTAAACATCTATGTCATTTATATAACATGTAATACATATTGCATATTCATGTAAGCATGTAGATCATGTAACATTTTCATAGTCATATAGCTTATCTCATTTCACATTGGTCATGTCTCATAGCATATATCACATATGCATATAATCATGTAACATATATAATAACCTATGTCCATTTAATGTATTCACGCACATATAAGAATCACAAATCAAATAACATTTTAGGAGTCACTTCTTACCATAGTAACTCCATCATTAGCTCATCACAAGCCAATGTTCGTTCAATAACATAAGTACAATTAAAATTACACTCACCTTAGCCTTGCTTTGATTCAATTATAATTCTTTGATTGTTCCGGAATTTGTTTAGGCTCAATATCTACATAAACATAATTTCTGAGACAATTATCAAAAACTTAAACCTTATAACTGGTATTAATAACTTAGGCTAATTTAATAAACCAAAATTCCATTTTTCTTTAAGGGGTGTATCGATGCACTATGGGTGCATCGATACACAAAATAGCTTCGAAATTTCCATGCATCGATGCACCCCTTAATGCATCGATGTACATTCAAAAATTATCTTAGTGCATCGATGCACCTGCCCGTAATAGGCTATTTCATCCGAAAATTCCACAACTTTTTTTTAAATTTCCTCATATAAAACTCATTTTATACCACTTAACTCAACTACAACCATTTTAACTAACTTTTATCATTCCCATACCTTATTATCTCCCATATCTCATCCAAATTCTTAAAGCTAAGAATCATACCAAATTTCATCCTACAAATTCATTTAAACCTTCTTATTCAAAATTTTACTTAAAAACCCATTTTCTTTAATCTTTCATAACTTCTTCACCTTTTGATTTTAAGACAAATTAAGCTTTCCTTAAGCTTAATTATCATCTAAGGATCAAAACCTAACCTTTAAATCAACAAATATTAAGAAACAAAGAAACTCTTACCTTTGCCTAGCTTCCACGGTTGGGGAAGAAGAAAGGAAGAAGAAGAAGATGAAATGTTTTCATCTTACCCTCCCTCACGTGTATATCTCTTATTAAAGGGGAGAAAAATATCTTTCATTGTCAATTGACCATTTTGCCCTTTAATTCCTTGAATAATTACTAACTTTCCGGAAATATTCCCAAATAAATCATTGAACTATTCAATTATTCTACTTTAATCACCAAATTCTAAAATTTTATAATTTAGCCACTAACACAGTATTGAGGATGTTACATCTGGGGCCTGTTCTTACTGCCTTCCTAGATCAACTTGTTGTTGTTCTTCGATGGTGTGATTGATTATGCTAATTTCTTGCTGATGCACAAGAGAAATAATCCCTAAATATGAAATTACAATGGTTGTTAGGTTGTTAGTTTGTGATAGTAGAGGTAGGATCATGAGGTATAATGAGAATGGTATTAAGGATCTCATTTTCATTGAGAGTCTCCCCTGAAGATGAGATGCTGCAAAGTATGGTTATTCTAAAAACATGTGACATCCCGAGAGACAAACATTCGGTGTAAGGTTGGTGAGTAACACTTATAGCCCTTTTGTGTGGGAGAATAGCCAATGAAGACATGTGTGGGCTCGAGGATCAAGTTTGGATTGATTGGGTTGATGATTGTGGACAAAAGATTTGCAACCGAATATTTTTGTTAGTAGGTTGGGAACACGAAATAAGGGAAATGTCTTTTGAAGTGTATGAAGAGGTGTTTGAAAATTTAATACCTTTGATGGTAGACGATTTATGAGGTAGCAAGCAGTGTGGACAACCTCTCCCCACAAGTATTTTGGGACACCTATAGTGAACATTAGGGCTCGAGCCACGGCAAGGAGATGTAGGTTTTTTCTTTTGGATATCCCGTTTTGTTGATGTGTGTCGGGGCAAGAACTTTGATGTATGATGCCTTCGTCAGAAAGGTAAGGGCTTAGGACAGAGTTGAAGTATTCTCTTCCATTGTCAGTTCAGAGAGTATGTATGATAGAATTAAATTGAGTTCAAACCATTGAGTGAAAATTTTGGAAGATTTTGGGTGTTTCATAATTTTTCTTTGAGGAGGTATACCCAACAAACCCTAGTGTGGTCATCAATGAAAGTTATAAACCATCTAGCTCCTGTAACATTCTTTACACGGCTCCCCATAGATCACTGTGTATTAATGAGAAAGGTTGAGACTGGACATAAGGCTTTAATGGGTATGGTACACGGGTATGTTTGGATAATTGGCAAATTTCACATTTCGATGAGCTCACACTTTTATTGCGAAATAACAATGGAAGATGTTTCTTCAAATACAAGAAGTTTGGATGTCCTAGTCTACGGTGCCATAATATATTGTGTCCTCTTTTGAAGTAGATAGAGTCAATCCTTCTTGTGTATTGTCTTTATTCAAAACATAGAGTCCATCATCAACTTTCCATTATCAACTTTAGCAGTGCCAATCATCCTCCTCGATTTCTGTTCCTGTACCACACAACCAATTGCAGAAAATTCAGCAAGAACATTTTCATCTTGGTAAGTTTATTGATTGAAAGTAAATTACATGAACATTTTGGGATATGCAGGACTTTATCAAGGGAGAAAATTTCTGCTAATTTTACTTTTCCAATTCTAACTACCAGTGAGTAGGATCCATTAGCTATGCGGATTCGAGATTGGTCATGATAAGGTGTATAAATGGGGTTACCTGTCATGTGATCGAAGCACCCGAATCAAGTATACAAGATGATTTGTTAGGTTCAAAGGTAATGTTGAGGGTAGTATCTTGGGTGGCTAGAGAACCACTAGCCGTAGAAGTACCAAGAAACTTATGGAGTGTCTCAAATTGGGTTTTGGTTAGGCGAATGTCGAGAGCATCATTTGCAGCATTGGAGGTATTAGTGGACAATGTTGCAGTTTTATTCTCCTTCAGGGTTTTTTCCATGATAGCCATGGAATTTGAAGCACTTTTCCCTTGTATGACCAACACAATTGCAGTGGTTTCACCATGGTCTGTTTGATCCAGAATCATTTCCAGCACTAAATTTTTATGGTTAAGGACCTCTAGAGATAAGGGCAGAATTTTCAAGAGGATGGTAACCAATTGTTGGTAAAGGACCTCCTACAGCTGCTGAAATGTTGGCCATTATTAAGGGTTTGAATCTTTTCTTTGACTCACAATGGAGTGGCAAAGGAAGACTTATTGTTGAGTGTGATAGCCTTATTGTGGTTAATTGGATTAAGAATTTAGGGGTTATCCCAATCAGTTGTGTTTGTTGTTGAATGGAATTTTAGAGTTTTTTAGGGATAAAGCTGTGATGATCAGACATATTCTAGAGGGGCCAATTGGGAGGCGGATAAGTTGGCTAGAGAAGGCATTGGATGAGAGGGGTTGTCATTATGCATGGTTAGGGGTTTTTGTTTTGTTTGGTTTTTCTGGTTGTATGTTTCTGGTGTAATCTAAGTTGCAGTTCTCAATGGTTCAATAAAATTTATGAGACACTCTTTTCCTCATTCCAATGCTCGAAGAAACTTTCATATTTTGTTGAGTACGAATGGTGTTTTTAATGAGGGAGACTATTCTATAAAAAAACAAGTCGTCGTTTTTCTTCTCTTCTAACTTCTGTAAATGATTCCCCGATTGTTGGTAGAGTAGTTCTGCCCAGAATTATTCCACGGACCTCATCTAACTCACGATTCAGTCCTGTTAGGAACTCATAAAGGTGTTCTTTATTGAGATAAGTTATAAACTTGGTGTGTTCCACGCCTTCGCCCCAGTCTGCCTCGTAGTACATATCCAGCTCTTGCCATAAAATTTTTAGATTGTTGTAGTAGTGAGTTACATCGAGTGCTCCTTGTCGAATAACCTTTAGCTTCAGCTTGATCTCGAATACTTGGGAGGCTTTTCTCAGATCTGAGTAGTTTTCTTTGATTGCGTCCCACATGTCTTTTGCAGTTTTGAATAAGAAATATATGTGAGATATATGGCCTTCCATTGAGTTAATTAGCCAAGCCATTACAATCAAGTTGGTCGTGAAATTTCTCCATTGATGTAACCTAATTTGCCACGGCCATGAATGACCATAATGCCCGATTAAGACCATCGCAGGAAATTTTTTCCATCTAGACGATGATTGGTGATTATAAGGGAGGAATTATGGTCACCTTGAGAGGTTCTTTGGTTAAAAGTATGAGTCATTTGTGAGGTTTCAGTTTCGGATAGAGTTTCATTATCACCCATGGAAAATGGATTGAACCAGAGAGGTAGGAATGATTAACGAGAAGGACAAGAAGATAAAGACGAAAGGAGTAGGATCGAATGATTCCTATAGCTCTAATGCCATGAACAAACTTAGAAAGAATGTTGTTATTTTTTACCAAATAGTTACAGCCTTTATAGAGTAGTCTAAGTATAAATAAGAAAACAATCCATAAAAATCATTAACTCCCTAAGAATTAGAGACTAAGATTAGATCCTACTGTACAAGGGAACTCCTAGGAATAAGGTAAGTACTTTATCCTTAATTTTAGGAATTCCAACACAATGCATATCTTGATATGGATATGAGAGTATGACCATGCAAAATCCCTCCATTTACATGGAAAAATCCTTTTTTTTTAAATTGAACATACTTGTGTTGGACGGACACCCGAGTCCGATTAACATAGGTTCAGTTGATTCCATCTGTATATAAAGTAGGTAGAATCCCTTTACAATCAAATTAACATAGTTGCATTGTTGGGAAATTAAACGAGTAATTTACCTATAACCAGATTAGTGAGAATGCGAAATAAAAGTAGAATAATAACACCTAAAATTGATAACGGAGTTCGGCCAATTATGCCTACGTCTCCAGACTACTGCAGATCTTTTATTAAAGGGAGAAAATGTATAGGTGTTTACAAAAAAACACTTACAACTCACAATCCAATTATACCCTGAAAATTGCTCTTAAGAAAACTCTCTAATTTCTCTAGTATTGGGAGAGAGCTAGAATGATTTGGATGATTTTGAAGCTAAATGGGTTAAGGTATTTATAGTTGAAGCTTAAGGACTAATCTTATAAATATCCTAAAGTACAGAGACTAAATTTGATAATTTTCCCTTACCAAATTTTAAACAAAATCTGCTCCTTTTGACCAATGCCATTCGGTGCATTAATGCACCGAAAGAAACTTTGATTTTCAACATGCATAATTGTTTTTTAATCATTTTGTTTCCTCTTATCATGTGTTTGTTATAATGCAATTATATCGGTGCTGGATATTTTTTCTATCGTGCTACTATATTTGATCCCCTTGCTGCAAACTGGATTATGCTTGCCTTACAGCTAATCAGATTGGTTTAATGTGATTAGGTTGGTATGGCTGCAAATTTGAGGGATTTTGTGCTTACTGATTTTGAAGGAAAAGAGGTATATAGATTAATCTTGTTGGAATGATGCATTTGAAAATTGCTTATGGTGACTCATATAAAGAATATGGCTTCAATTTTGTTTTCTTTTACTTATGATGGGATTTATTTTGCTATCCTTTTTCTGACCAAGCTTTTCCTACTTGAAATGTGCTCCCGAATTTGCTGACAATCAGCTTAAATGATGCATTAGTAGAAACTTGTTAGCTTTTCAGGTTAGAGGCATTAAATGCATAAGCTATTTTATTCTGACTTTGTTTTTTTCTCGAAGTACCTATTTCCAATGCATTCTTGGACATGGGTGTGAAGATATGACCCTCCAAATACTCTTCAATTACATGGAAAAACTTAGGAAAAAACTGAACATACCCGTATTTGACACTCACAACCAGTCCAAGTAACGCAGTGTACAAGTATAAACTTGTTATTGTATCTACCTTCACAGGTGTGCCATAGATACAAGTCTGAGTACTGCATGCAAGCTTTTATATTAGACATTGCTTCATTCTCTGTACCACTTCATCTACCTTCACAAGTGTTCAATAGATTTGCTTTCGTGTTGGACATAATATGTCCATAAGCCAGATTTTGTGTTTTATCATTTAATTTCTATTGATTTTAATTTTTAAAAGCCTCGTCTTTTTTACCCATTACATATTAATGTTGTATCCATGAGATGCTATTCTCCTGATTTGTAACTTGACGTTTTCTCTTAGAGGAAAGGATCTGAAGTTCTCTCTTTTGGTGGTACACCTGTTGGTTATGCTTTATGCCCCACAGAAACGGTACGTGCCTTACTTTCTGTTGATCAGATTCATGTAATGGCCAACTTGAAGATGTTTTCTTTGTAAAACTGGGATTTATTGTTTGGATTCCGCCTTCCTGATTGTCTTTCCACAGTCTTTCAAATTTTAAATATCAGTTAGGAGCATTTCTAATAATGTATTGAAGAAAAGGTAAACTTTCTTTCACGAGAGTACAATGTTTTTTCAAACCATGAAGTTTATATCCATCATCGTCTTCCAGGTCAATTATGTTTCTGCTCATGAGAATGAAACCCTCTTTGACATTATCAGTTTTAAGGTATGATCATGATCTTACTTTGTATAATGTTCTATCCCATTTAATTTATCCAAAAAAAAAAGGGAGAACATGTTTTATTTTACTGCAATTGACCAATAACTTTGCCTTTTTGCAGACTCCGGTGGAAATATCAGTGGAAGATAGGTGCAGGATGAATCATTTTGCAACAAGTATAATTGCACTGACACAGGTTTCCCCCTTGCAAATAATCAAATTTCACATGTCCGCATTGACTAATGTTCATAATATATGGTAGGGGCCTAAGATATATCGTAACAGGAGATGTACCCCCAACTCGAGTCCTGTTTGAAATGATTCGATTTCTTTTTCCAGTCAAGCTGATATTGATGCATTTGCTGACAATTTGATATCATTCTGTTACATTTCTGTTTTATTTTGTTCTTATATTTTTAGGGAATACAATTTTTCCATGCCGGGGACGAAATGCTTCGCTCAAAATCACTTGATCGTGATTCATACAACTCCGGTGATTGGTTCAATAGGTATTCTTCGCCTCTTTTCCGTCTGAGGACAGCAAATGCTATCCAGGTGAGTTTGAGATTCTATGACATTTTTGTGGAACTGAATCAGCAAATTCAGTTTCTTTTGCCAATTGTGCAAAAAAATCAGAGTTTCATGTCAAAACTAAGTTATCTGCATCTTTATTGATAAACAAACTGAACTTGTGTGTGAGATCCTTGTCGTTTTTCGTTTTTCGTGGCATTGATAAAGAGATGCATCCTTGTGAGAAAGTAACAGAGAAGAAACATATCGTTACAGACATCCTACTGAAATGACATGGCTTATGTTTCCAGGAACGAGTACGGTTCCTCAACACTGGTCCATCATGGGTCCCCGGCATCATTGTGATGAGCATTGAAGATGGTAATGAAGGTGTCCCAGGGCTCTCTCAATTAGATCCCATGTGTGTATTAATGGTGTCCATACAAAACATATAATATCAATGATATTATCTATCATAGTTTCATAGTTCTTTTCTTCTTTACAGCGTTTTGTACATTGTCGTCGTCTTCAATGCATCTCCGACGGAGGCATCATTCAGTAGCCCTACACTGCGAGGAAGGACTCTTCAGCTTCATCCTATACAGGTACTGAATGCTTCTACATTGTACTTCTGCTTGGTAAAAATTTCAACCTGCTTTCTGTATGAACCGTGACAGGTGAGGTGAAGTGATGAAACAGTTAAGAAGTCATCGTACGATGCATCCTCAGGGTGTTTCACCGTGCCAGGGAGGACGACATCCGTGTTCGTTGAGCCTAGAAAAGCATGAGAAGTTTGCGGTCCTGAATGTGCCTGGAAATAGCTCTTCCACTTGGAGGGGCCTGCTGCGTACCAGAAATTTGATTAAAAAAGGTTGCAAATGGCAAATTAAGTCTGGCGCACAAATCAAGTTCTGGCAAGACTGGTGGGTAGGAAAAGAACCATTGAAAAATTTATACCCCTTAATGGATAATCCGATCAGAAATGAAGTGGTAGCTCAAAACATTAATGAGAATAAATCATGGGATATTCGGGAGATTTAGCATTTGATTTCTGAAGAAACAAGAATGGAAATCCATAGAGTCTCGATTCCGACCTTGGTTGATCTTCAGGAAAACGATAAAAGAACATGGGGTTTCACTAAAGATGGGAAGTTTACTGTTAAATCAGCATATTACGCTATTATTAACACGGAGGTGGGAGCCCAACAGGGGGAAAATCTGAAATGGATTTGGAGCACTAATACCAGCGAAAGGATTAGATGTTTTTTATGGCTTGCCTACTTAGACAAGCTTAATACAAATGAAGTTTGATTCAAGAAGAATATGACTCAGGATATAAATTGTAAAGATTGTAGAAACGAAGTGGAATCAATAAGCCATATCCTCCGAACATGTTCCACAGCAAGGACTGTTTGGGAAGAATTAAAAGCCTGGGAACAAGATAGACAGTTTGGCTCGATGGCTTTCAAAAACTGGTTAAAGAGAAACAGTCTCTCAAAGAAGCCAGGAATAGAAAATTTGGAACGGGGTCCCATGCTTATGGCAGCCATTTGGAGTCTGTGGAAGGCCAGAAATGATAGGATATTTAAAGATGCGAGAACGGATCCGTTTATGGTGATAAAGTATGCAAAACAGTTTGCTAAAGACATAGAGAGGGCCTGGATAAACTCTCAAAGAAAGATGGTAAATGATCCCTTTTGGGTAAGTTGGAGAAAACCGCCTGAGGGAGGATGGATTTTAAACACTGATGGTGTTCATAAAATGAATTCAGGAATGGCTGTTGCAGGAGGGCTGATCCGGGATAGCAATGGTGACTGGAAAATTGGGTTTATGCTGAAGCTAGGAAGAATTAACAGCTCGGATGCTGAAATTTGGGGGGCTCGACAGGGTCTGTCCATAGCAAAAAGTCTTGGATTAAGAAATTTGATTCTACATATGGATGCAAAATGGGTTGTGGACATATTCAACGGTGAAAGAATATAAGATTTCATAGATAACGATGTGGTATATGAGTACAAACATCCTTAAAGAAGACTAGGTGGTTGAAGTACGACACATTTGGCGAGAAGGAAACAAATGTGCTGATAAATTAGCAAACATGGCTTTATTACAAGAAGAGGACTTAACCATACTGCAACTGCCTCCAACAGATCTTCTGGAGCAGTTGGGAACAAACAAGAAGGAAGTTGGCGATCTGAGACACTAGTCTCCCATTTTTCTCTGTGTATCAAAATATATATATATATATATATATGAACATAAAATAAATTAATACAATATGTGTCATCATCTTATTTGAGGAAATAAATGAAACAAGAATAGAGATAAAAGGTCTCAAACTTGGGTGTCTTGAGAATTTAGGATTGTGCTTAATCATTAAATCAAGAATAATATTTTTTTGACAAATTTTAAATCTAATTCTAATCTTATTAGAGAGGAAAATAGAAACTATAGGGGAAGGAAGAGGAATCTTCCCAGTGAGTCCAGAACTTGTGACCTAAAGAAATATGGGGAATAAAGATGAGCAATTTAACTAATCGACCAAATGTGCTTCTCAAATCAAGACTTATAATTAATTTATGATTGACAATATTTTATATATAGAGAGAGGATTAGGATCCACTTACGTTGTATAAAACTTTAATTTTATACCTTTTTAGGGTCGTTGAATTGAGAGAAATTAAAGGTTGAAATTAACTCTTAATTTTTTTTCCAGTGAATATCTTCTCATTTTCTACTGTTAATTTAGCCTTTAATTTTTCTCATCCAATGATCTTAAAAAGATCTAAAACTAAAAGAGTTCTACACAATGTAATTAAATCCTGCCCCATATATATATATATATAGTTGTATCTTGATGAAAAATTTAGAAAATAGGATTAGAGGACACAATTTTTGTTGACTTGTAATTTATCTCCAACATCTTCTTAATAAATAGTAACTATATATTTTCTTATTCCTGTATATATTGCCATCAGTCATTATACAACTAGGTTTTACAAGGAAGATCATCATCTCCGGAATTACATGAATACATAGTGTTTTTCCAATAATAAAGCACAAAATTAAGATGAATATATTTGTTACTCGGTAATGGTGGGTAGGTCTCTGTTAATGGGCATTTTAACCTTCATTTCATCTTTGGAGGCAAAAGGATTTGGTGGAACCGTGAGCATCTCAGCCTCTCCTTCTATCATTTGAACCACTGAATTCATGGAAGGACGATCCACCGGATACCACTGGATGCACCACAGTCCCACAATTGTGAGCTTCTTTGCTATCTTATCATGTTCTTCATCCTCGAGTCTTATTCCCAGCTCTTCACCTTTGTCCAACCGATTGTAAACCCATTCCGGAAAGTAAACTTGGCTTATGTTCTCCACCTTCACGTCGATGTTCTTCCTTCCTCCCACCATCTCCAGCAGCATCATCCCGAAGCTATAAACATCCGACTTGTACGATACGTTCCCGAAGTTTCTAGAAAGTACTTCTGGTGCAATGTACCCCATGGTTCCTCTTGCTGCCGTCATCGAAACGGCACTCTGCTCTTTCGAACATAGCTTGGCCAACCCGAAATCGGAGATTTTCGGGTTGAAGTTGTCGTCCAGCAGGATGTTGTGCGGTTTGATGTCGAAATGGAGGATTCTTTGCTCGCAGCCTTGGTGCAAATACTCGATGCCTTTGGCGATGCCTAAAGCAATCTCGTATGTCTTTTCCCAGCTAAGCGAACGATTATCGCCTTTGTCCTCGAATATGAACTTCTCTAATGACTCGTTCGGTAAGTACTCGTAAACCAGGGCTCGGTTGTACCCGTCGGCGCAGAAGCCGACGAGTCTAGTCACATTGACGTGGTGGATTCGACCCATCGAGCCGACTTCGTTGATGAACTCTTCGCCGTTCCCTTTGAAATTGTTGAGGACCTTGACTGCAACCGAGACATCGTTGGAGAGTGTTCCTTTGAACACCGTCCCGTAACCACCTTGGCCCAGTTTTTCCTTGAACTGGAACGTGATCCTCTTGATATCAGCATATGAATATCTCGAGGGCTTGAGAGCTTTGTAATCTTCCAAAAACTGTTCGATTTTGCGCTCCGCGTCCTTCTCCATTTTACGTAGATGGTACATCCAGAGTAATCCGATGAGACTCGACATAACAAAAAACCCACCGATTGTTAAACCTGCAAATGGGGAAACAGGGTTGGATCCTTGTCATAAATTAGAATCGATGTTTCCTTAATTCTCTCATTTGATGGAAAACTAAGCGTACCTGAAATCATCAGCTTCACTTTTAGACCTGCACATGACATTTAGACCTTTATCAGCAACACTACGTTTATAATCAAAACTAGAACAATTAAACTATTGAGGTAATGGAAAACATTTGATTTATACAAAATTTAATTTTCTTTTGGATTCAGGGGAAACTATCTATTTGGTCATCAACTTATTATTTAGTTTCTGGAAAACTTTAATTCTTTTTCAAAATCATATCTAATGTTACATTCTAGTTCTTATCTTTTAACACCGTGTGGCCAAAACAAACATAAGATTAGGTATGATTTTTTTTAAAGAATAATAGTTAAATGACTAAATCATAAATTAAGTAATAGGTGGACGAGAAAATTGATAGTTTACACAAGATAATATTTTATAGGGTAAAGTATACAAATAGTCTCTCAATTATAATATACTGTTTTATTTAGTCCCTTGACTATTAAAAGTTATAAAATGGTCCATTGACTATAGAGAATTGCTTTGTTGAGTCTCTCGATTATTAAAAGTTAAAAAATGATCATCTGACTACTCATTATGTTCCAAACTAATAATTTTCCATTAAAAAATTAATGATCATCTAAGCTGTATCCTAACTGGTGACTGAGATATGATAAAATCTAATCTCATAATCTCAAATGACTATCATATCTCAGTCATTAGGTTAGCATACACCTCAAACGATCGTTAATTTTTAATGGAAAATGACGTGTTTGAAACATAAAGAATAGTCGAATGATAATTTTATAACTTTTAATAGTCGATGGACTCAACAAAGCAACTTCCTATAGTCGGAGGATCATTGTGTAATTTTTAATAGTCAATGGACTCAAAAAAGTAGTATCTTATAGTCGAGGGACCATTTGTGTACTTTACCCTATTTTATATTAAGATTTATTTTTAAAAGTTGCTTCCCTGAAATCTTTAATTGGAAAAGGAAGTAAGTCAAAAGTCAATAAAAGCATGTATCGGTGGAAGACTTTTCTTTTCTCTTCAAAATGATAAGCATGATTCAAATTTAAAGGCAAGGTAAATTATAGGAAGAATGGAAATTGATTTATGAAGAAGTTACCCATATGTTTGATAGGGATGTCGAAGCATTCAAAGCCATAGGGGTTGGTCTCATTTCGTCGACAAACTTGGTGGCGTAATTCGCAGTAACCGCACCCAGGCCGGCTCCAATTGAAGTAAAAATTGTTACTCCTATCCGATATCAACGCTTCCGGAACTTCTCTCAGATCTATAGTCCTCCGGCAGTGTAATAAATCGGTGCTTGCATAATCGGAATCCGTGTACTTCACGTAGAACCCAGGCTTAGTACTTAAGCAACGGATGATATTATCGCCAAAGTTGGATTGGCCTTCTTCCGAGCATTCGAACAAGGTACTGTTTCGCGGCGTTTCGTAATAAGAATCGGAGCCGAGCCTGAGATTGAAAGGAGACGAAGATAACGTGAGATTTTGAAGCTGATTCTGAACGCAACCATCTTCGGCATACACTTGAATCCTCTGGTTCTTATAATCTATGTGCTTCACCAACAACTTCACCGATTGGGGCAGCTCCAGCACCGTGTGGTTGTTGTTGTTGCACGTAAGAGTGAACCCGGGATAGCCGCAGTCGTCAGATTGCAGGCCTTTCAATCGGAAGGGGAAACGGACGGAGGGACCGCCGCGCTTGCAGCTGGTTGGTCGGCAACCCTCTGGATATGTTGAGGCTGGATCAAGACCAACTGCTGCAACACTAGATATGAAGAAGAAGTGAAAGAGAATA